CTTTTGTCTTTTTTCACTTAGCACATTATAGTGATCTTTCCATATCAGAAGATAGGAAGTTTCTTTATTTAGTTTTTAGTTTAACACATTTAACCAGTCCTTTATTGATAGATATATGCACTTATAATTTTGATATTCTCAACTTGTCCTCTGTAGATAAAGACTATACAATTTCCATTTCTGACAGTAATGTATCATTTAAGAGATTGTTTCTGCACAGCCTTACCAAAAGATTATTCTCAAACTTTTGAAGTTTTGGCAGTCTGATAGATGAATAAATGGTATCTCTGGGTAGTTTTAGCATGCATTCTTTTCATCTTCCCCCCCCCCCTCCCAGTTTTTGCTGATTTCTAAGAGCTTTTTATGTCTAGGGAGAGAATGTGTTTCCAAGTTGGTCATTTTTGTTTTGATTTTGCTTATAAAATGGTAGGCTTTTCTAAGTTTAATTTTTTTTAAATAATTTAAAGTTTTAAAATTCTCTTTGTGGCTTCTGAATATTGTAGTAGTTAAAAAGGTTATTTCCACTCAAAGTTACAAAGGTATGTCACTGTCTTTTATATTTTTATGGTTCATTTTTAGATTTAAACCTTTTTAAAAAAATTTTATTTGTTCTTTTTAGTTACATATGACATATCATATAGACATGGAGTATTAATTTCCCATTTTTGTGGTTGTACATGATGAGTTACACTGGTGTGTATTCACATGAACATAGAAAAATTATGTGGGTTCATTCTACAGTCTTTCCCTCTTCCCTTCCCCTCACTCCCCACTGTCCAATCTGGTAAACCTCCACTCCTCCTGTTGCTGCCCTCCCCCCATTGTGAATCAGCATCTGCCAATCGGAGAGAACATTCAGCTTTTGGTTTTTTGGGATTGGCTTATTTCAGTTATCATGATAGTTCCCAGTTCCATCCATTTACCAGCAAATGCCATAATTTCATTCTTCTTTATGGTTGAGTAATATTCCATTGTGGATATGTTCCACATTTTCTTTATCCATTCACCTGTTGAAGGGCACCTAGGTTGGTTTCTTAGCTTAGCTATTGATGTGGCCACTTCACTATAGTAGGATGATTTTAAGTCCTTTGAGTATATGCTGAAGAGTGGGCTAACAGGGTCAAATAGTGATTGCATTCCAAGTTTTCTGAGGAATCTCCATACTGTTTAGATTTAAACCTTTGACCTGTTTAAAATATATCCTGTTCTGTGGGTATTTCCTTTGTTCTTATAGCTATCCTACAAATATCTGAACTCTGTAATATATACTTTTCATATACTCTAATTATACCAAATTTTCACACATATATTTGGGACTTTTTATGAAATTCCTTTTGGTTCTTTTTGTCTGAATGCTAATTACTAAGGATTTAATGCATTTTAATAAATCTAGTAGGAAAAGAAAGGGTTGGAGAATCTCATGAAAATAGAAGGGAAATCAGTAGAGAAGAGAAAGAGAACAGGAGAGAGATGGGAAGAGGGAAAAGGACAACACTGGGGAATGATATTGGCCAAATTATATTGTGTGCATGTACTATTATATAACAGTCCCACCATTATGTACAACTACAGTGTGCCAATAAAAACTGGAAAAAAGTAAATCTAGTAGGCCCATCTTCCTTCACTGTACTCCCTCTCTACTAGAGTTTTCATTACAGTTCTGTTTATTTTCCATATTTGGTTTAGAATCAATTTTGCTTTTACCTTTCCCCCTTAAAAAGAAAGAAAGAGAGAAAGAGAGGAAGGAAGGAAGGAAGGAAGGAAGGAAGGACAAACTGTTGGTGTTTTTACTGGAAATATGTGGATGGATAAATTTGGTGGATAGATTGGTATGTTTTGAATGTTTATAATGCTGTATGACCTATCCAAGAACATGGTATTTCTTTCCATTTAATCAAGTTTTCTTTTGTGTTTGTGAGTAATGTTTTATCTTTTTGTTGCTATTATAAATTGAGTATTTTCTTCCATATTTTCTGTTTTTTTTGTTTGTCTACATGAAGGCTATTGACTTCATATAACCCACTATTAATTTTTTTCTTATTTTAGTAGTTTTCATGTCAATAGGTTCTTTAAGCTTTTTCAGACAGATAGCCATGCTATAAAAATAATTTTATTTCATTTATCATTTTTATACTTCTAAGATGTGTTTTCTATCCAACCGTATCAACTAAATCTCTTGCAATAGTAGATTCTAGTGAATAAAATATATCAAATGATTTGATCTTATAATTTTTTGTTTCTTAAATCTATTAATATGATATATATATATATATATATATATATATATATATATATATATTTAAAACAGGGAGAGAGAGAGAGAGAATTTAATATTTTGTTTTGTTTTGTTTTCGGTGGACACAACATCTTTGTTTGTATGTGGTCCTGAGAATTGAACCTGGGCCGCACGCATGCCAGGCAAGTGCGCTACCACTTGAGCCACATCCCCAGCCCAATGATGGCTTATATTAATAGATTTCCGGGACTGGGGTTGTAGCTCCGTGTCTGAGCACTTGCCTAGCATGCATGAGGCACTGGGTTTGATCCTCAGCACCACATAAAACTAAATAAATAAATTAAAGGTATATTAGATTTTCTGCATCTTACTCTGGGTTATAATGTATTTTTGTTTTTTTAATGTGCTACTGTTTTTATTCTGTTGCTGACATTTTTAGAATTTTCTCATGAGTGGTACTGGTCTGTGTTGTATGCAGTTTGTGTGATTTGTTTCTTTATTTTACCTGTATTAAGCTTTATGGAAATAATTTGGAAGTTTCTCTTTTTCTGTGCCCTGAAACATAGGTTTGATGGTGCTACTCTGTGAAATTACTAGGGCCTATGGCTTTTTATAAGTTCTGTTAAACAATGTTCTTTTTTTTTTTCCTCCCCATGATAGTTGAAATATTTTCTGTCTCTCCTGAGGTTAATTTTAATAATGTTATTTTCTTGGAAAATTATCTATGGTATTTCTATTTAAGTTTTCAAATGTAATAACCTGGATGTTGAACAAAGTAGTCCCTTATAGTTATTGAAATTTTCCTGAACTTATAAGTGGTTTGTCTTTTTTCTTAGGCATGATATTATTCCTTTCACTATACTTTAAGATTATCTAGTGGGTTTATTTATCTTCTACCCAGAGAATTAACTTTTGATTCTTTTCTTAATTTTTTTTCTATTTTTAGTTGCTATTTTTGTTTTCATTAAAACTCTTTCCTGGGGGTTGGGGTGGTGGCTCAGTGGTAGAGCACTTGCCTAACATATGTGAGGCACTGGGTTCCATTCTCAGTACCACATATAAACAAATAAAAATAAAGTTCTATCAACAACTAAAAAAAACTTCTTTCCTCCTACTTTTATTTATTTTAGATGCCCTTTTTCTAAATCTATAAGTTTATTGCTTCAACTATTTATTTTTTTTAAACTTATTTAAATATTTAAGGTTGTAAAACTTCTTTTGAACAATGGATATGTGTTGGATTCTAATATGTAGTGTTTTTATTCTGTAGGAAATCTGCAGTTTGAGTTTAGTTTCTTTTTGACATATTTTTTAACAACAGAATTATTTATCATTTTCACACTGTGAAGTCCAGTTTAGACAGTGGTTTTATATGTCCAAACCTGTGATCAAGATAGAAAATATATTTTGAAAGATAATCAATAAGCTTCGCTTTCATCCCACTGTCAGAATGTGAATTACAGAAGAAATTCATCCTACTAATTAGGGACACAGCTAATGTGGAAAGTAATCATTTATTAAGTTAAATAAGTTTATATTCTTGGAATGTGTAGTTTATTTCATTCTGAAAGTTTTCTGTGAGATTGGATTTTCCCTAAAGCATAAGATGTAGAAATACAAACTTCATTATTTACTAAGAAATTCTGATAGTATGATCTTTACTGACAACTAAGTTCAAATAGAATCATAATTAGGATTTGAGGTATTCTTCTTTCTATGGATATTGATATTCTGGACTTGAGGCATGTATATGAGTTTGTATGTGCATGTACATGCCTATTTATTCTATATGGAGATCATAGTGACCAACTTGGTAGCTATTTTAAGGTTTTCTTCATAGACAGGAAATTCCAGATGGTCTCTTTGTTATTTTTATTTTATTTTTTTCTGTTCTGATTAAGGAAAGTCATTTTAGAGAGAGGGAGAGGGAGAAAGAAAGGAGGAGAGAGAATAAACTTACTCTAAGCTGATAAGAAAAATAGGCTGCTTGCTTTATTATTTATGATTTATTTTTTAATGATTTTTTGTGCCTGTTTTATTTCAGCCTCCTAATGGAAAATCTTTTTATTTTCATTTTTTAATTCTAATTAGTTATACATGACAGTAAAAAGGATTTTGACACATCATAAATGGAGTATGACTTATCATTCTTCTGGTTGTATGTGATATAGAATCATACTGGTTGTGTAGTCATATTGCATATAGGGTAATAATGTCCAATTCATTCTACTATCCTTCCTACTTCCATACCCTCTCCCCTCCCTTCACTCCCCTCTGCCTAATCTAAAGTACCTCTATTTTCCCCTAGCCACCCACCTCCCTTATTGTGTGTTAGCATCTGCATATCTGAGAAAACATTCAGCATTTGTGTTTTTTGGGGGGATTTGCTTATTTTGCTTAGCATGATATTCTCCACCTTTATCCATTTACTGGCAAATGCCATAAATTAATTCTTCTTTAAAGCCAAGTATTATTCCATTCTGCTTGCTTTTTTAAACTGATAGAAATACTTTAAGCTCAAGAGAAAAATCTAAACATAGGAATTTTGACTCTCTGAAGAATTTGCCACTAGAGAGTTACTCAAGTGTTCATGGAATTTTAGAAAAGGACAAAATAATATATTTTATCTTTAAAAAAATTTCAGATATTTTATTTTCAGACTAAGGAATTGAGATCCACAGTGTACCTTGCTATTTGAAAGTCAAAGAGAATGAGCTCTGAGTTAATTATTACTACATAAGATTCTATTAACTTTATTTTACAGAGAATACAAGCAAGCATTCTAAAAGCATTTAACAACCCAACTACTAAAACTGCTGATGAAGAAACTAGAAAAAAAGTCAAAGGTATGTTGACTTTTAAAGTTAAAACTTTTTTCTACAGTATTAAGATTCGTCTCCGGGGAAAAAGAATAGAGCATTGTATGAACTAATTTTCTAACATTGAGACCTTTAAAAGGAGGGTGTACTTACACCAGTGGTGGCAAGATGCTATAATGGGACATAGAAAATTTTAGAATGTATCCTGTGAGTTTCTTAAAACTAAAAGCAAACAAACTAATTTCACTTATACAGATTGTCACTGACGACCTATGTTAGGCCTTCTGAGACTTGAAAATATGTGGAAAGCAGCATCTTCTCTTGGAAGTTCACATTTATCATATTGTGTCATTTTGGTGTTTAGATAAATATATTTACAGGTATTATCTAAATTTATCTAGATAAAATGATTAACTGTTCCAAAAACTTGTAAAGAAATAATTTGTTAAGAGTACTAACAAGTCAAACATAAGTACAATTTGCCTATTCTTAGTGTTTGTTCTTCATCAGTCAAAATACAGGGCAAAATCAATGACTGTAATCAAAGCTCCTAGCTTATAAATATTTCAGTGTGATTATATCCTGTGATATGAACAATTTACCCAGTCCTAAGTGTATGTAATCTACCTTGTGATATTAACTAATGTTAGTATAAAGTAGTTGGCTATTTTTAAAAATCATTTAAAATATTTTGTTTTATTTATTTCCTCTTTTTAAAACTTCTTTTGTAATTTTATAATGTTCATGCTATATGTCTATAATTTATAAACAAATATACATAAATTGTTGTATCATCTAAGACTCATTAATTAAACATTTGAGATTTTTTCCTAAGCATGCTCCTTGTTCTTTTGTGTTGAGATAGTGCCATCTAGTGTATGTTTAGTATATAGCTCAGTTTCTTCCCATTTTCGTTTTTTGTATTTTTAACTCCTTGTAAAATTTTTCTTAATGAAATATCTTAATTTATCATAGTATTTCTAAAGTTATTGTAATTAATATTTATTGATATATGTTAAATATAAATCTCTGTTATTCAGTGCTTCAGATAATGTTTTAAATGATTATAAATACTGTTTGTATGAAACCTGGTAGAGGTCCAAAAAGGATAGAAGGTAAGTTTGAAAGAAGGGTGAATAGAATTATTAATATGCTTTCTCCCTCATGGTTTACTGAGGAAATTTTCAAATTTTTGTTGAAGTAGAATAATATAATGTAGTCTCTTGTACCTATCATCCAGCTTTACACTCATGGCTTATTATTTTTACTTTAGTAGTAGTAGTATTTTTTCCAGTAGTGGGATTGAATCCAGGGCCCCATACATGCTAGACAAAGCACCATACCATTCCTCTGAATCCCCAACCCTTTTTTATTTTTTGAGACAGGGTCTTGCTAAGTAGTCTGTTTTTGCCTTGAACTTGTGATATTCTAGCCTCAGCCTGAGGATGACAGGAATGTGCTACCATGCCTGACTCTACTTTTTATGTTTAATTTATTTTTCCAACTCCAGATTATTTTAAAGCAAATCACAGGCATAGTTTCCTTTGATTTATAAATATTTCCTGAGCAAACTAATTTTAATTAAAAAAAATACTATGAGCATGTGTGTATGTGTGTTTAGGTGAATTGTAAGAATGCCCATGTTAATTCCTTCTTCTATGCTATGTTTACTTATTTTTACCACATTTTTTTATAACTATGACCTTGGCACCTGCAGCCTGAAAGCATAATCTTCCCTATTCTTCTGTGTGCTACTAGGTTAGACACAGAGGCTTTCCAAGGTTTAATGGGAGCAGCTGAGATGTGGAATAGTGGTATTGCTCTATTTAGTTTTCTATTATGTTTTAGAAAATCTTTATTTCTTAGAGACTATGGTAGCTGATGGTTGTGTTTCCCTTACCAAAAAAAAAAAAGTGAAGGAGACATTGTATCATTATATAGTAAAATATATTATTAAATATAATAAAAGAAGTCTGCCTTATTTGGATTACTTTTGAATAACAGACAATAGCATGTAACATTATTGGATGGTTGCTATGTTTTTAGTGTTAAAAAGTATGATTTTTACAGCATATGGAAAAGAAGGTGTGAAAATGAACTTCATAGATCGGATCTTTATTGGTGAATTAACTAGCACAGTCATGTGTGAAGAATGTGCAAATGTAGGTACTTTGGAATTCACTTCTTGGAATACATTACAGTCACATCGTTTTTATTATGTTTTCTTTTACATATATTAATGAGCAGTCATTTTTTAAATTCACAATAAGTGACTACATGACTTAATCTTTAAAGACATTTTAAAAATATACCCTATACTCCTAGAAAGTAAACATAATTTAAAATTATTTTTTCAAGTAAATATGTTATGTTTATGATTTTATTTTTCTTCTTGACACATCCATGAGGTGCTTTTGGTCTATCTTAATTTGCTAAAATACATTAGCTACTTCTGTGAAGGGCAACTATGTTACATTGTATAGACATAATCGTAACATAATTTAGGGTGATTCTATAACACTTAATTTCAATTTTATATCTATAAGACTTACTAACATTTTTTGTTTTTGTCTTGGCTCATCTTTGAATTCAGTAATACTTTTTATTTTAAATTTCATCTTTAACAACTTAAAGCATGTATAAATTGTTAGAGATTTTCAGTCGCTTCATAAGGAATACTTCTGAAAGTATATGGCTTAAAGTATGGTAAATTTAAACTTTTGTCAGACTTGATTGGTAAAAAAGAGTCTTTATATCCATTTTTTTCTGTCCCAGATTGTGAAGTACTCTTCTGCCCTCTTTAGTCTTATAAAATCAGGATTATAAATTATATATCCTTCTAGCCTATCCCATTTAAACATAATGTGTCAACCTGCTATAACTTAAATTTCTGCAATAACCAACATAGAAGTTGATTTCTCTCTCACAAAGGTAGAAAGTATCTTTTAAAACAATTAGCCTAAGCAATCTTCAAAACACTGTCAAGCTCTCTGCTTCTTTCCCCATGGTTTTTTCCTTAACATTTCATGCTTTGTTTTAATTTAAAACTTTGAACTGGGAAGTTTGATTTCTTTGATACTTTACGGAACTACATGTCTATATTATAATTCTAACAGAAGTTCTCAATTTGTTTTCTTTTTAAGATCTCCACTGTGAAAGATCCTTTCATTGATATTTCACTTCCTATAATAGAAGAAAGGGTAAGGAGAAAAAAAAGTAATTTTGAGGGCTTTGTGAAGAGCATTTATTCACTCATTTAGATATTTTTTGAGTGTATTGTCAGATGTCTGAGAGTCATTATGTTTTACATATAACTGAGTTTGTATGGTGTTTCGATAGTGGGGTTTATGCATGTATGCATTAAGTATGATATACTTCTTATTCTCCAGGAATTTAAATCCTTATGCTTTTGAGAATTAATGTTAAGAAAATAATCTTTTTATATTTTTAGTGAGTTAGAGATTTTAAAAAGAAAGGTATATCCAAAATTTATTTGCTTAAGAAGTTTTGTGTTATGTATATGGCATCTACATAGGTATCAAAACCTGTGCTTTTGGGAAAAATGAGTAAATATAGAAGTTTACAGGAGACAGATCCTGATCAGTACAGTGGCACTGTTACTATAGAAAATACTCAACCCAGAGCTGCCAAGAAGCATTCTTCATCAAAAGATAAGGTGAGACTATGAACATTTGTTAAATATTTGTTTTTTTTAACTTTTTATTGAGAAATATTTTAAATATATACAAAAGTAGAGAGAATAATATAATAAACTCCCATGCACCCATTTCTCAGCTTCATATTATCAATTCATGGCTAATTATGTTTTTGCAGTATCTGTCCCACATTCCACCCTTCCCCACCCAGATTATTTTGAAATAAATCCGACAAAAATTATACATACTTCAAGATATTTATTTAAAAGATACTCTTGAGGCTAGGGGTTGTGGCTCAGCGGTAGAGTGCTCGCCTAGGGCATGTGAGGCCCTGGGTTCAATCCTCAGCACCACATAAAAAAAAATAAAACAAAGATATTTTTAAAATAATAATTTCCATTTAAATAAAAAAATAAAAGGTATTCTTTAAGAGCCATGGGTATAGCTCACTTGCTCAAGTCCCTGAATTCAGTACCCAAATGCCCTTTGTAAAAACATGACGACAGTACCATCATCATACATAAAAATATTAATACTTCTTTGTGAAACCAAGCATTCAGTCATTATTGAAATTTCTTCAGTTCCCTCATAAATACTCAGGTTTTTCTTTTCTTTTCTTTTCTTTTTTGTTTGTTTTGTTTTGAGAAAAAGGAAAAAGAAGGTTTATTGCTTTGCTTGCAAAGGAGAAACATAGGGGACTCCTGTCTCAAAGTTTGTGATTGTGCCCATCACAGGAACATGGGGCTTTTAAAAGAGGTGATTCAAAGGCTATATTCCATATGTTCCCTTTTGGAGTTGTAATTCACTTGTTAATTTGGGACAGTCATTTCTGAGATCTTCTTGTACCATCCCCAAAGTCTGGATTGTGTGTGTGTGTGTATGTGTGTGTCTGACTGTCTTTCTTTCTTTCTCTCTTCCTCCAGTACTGGTACTTGAGTCCAAGTGTACTCTATCACTGAACTACATCTCCAACCCTTTTTATTTTTTATTTTGAGAAAGTGTCTTGCTAGGATGCCCAGGCTGGCCTCTTGCCTTAACCTCCAGAATACCTGGGCCCAAAGAGTATCATGTGTCTTTATTTAATCACATTTTCTTTTTGCAATTTATTAACCAAAGAAATCATCCATTTTTTTAGCATTTTTCCACATTCCAACATTAAGTAATATTTACTATTGTATTCCTATGATATTCACAGGTTCTTCCGTCTCCTTTATTTCCTCTCTAATGTGATTTAGATCTAAAAGCTATGTTAGGTTCAGATTTGATTATTTATTTAATTTTTTGGCAAGAAAACTTATAAGTGGTGGTGTATTCTCAATCAAGTTGGTTCTAATGAATACTTCCTGGTTTCTACTCTCTAGAAACCGTTAAGTCTTTTTATGGTGCCATATTCAAGAAGCAAAAAGTTAAATATAAATGTCATTAGAAATTTTGTTTAGAAATTATTAATATTTTTTAATGTATGATGATGGTACTGTGGTTATGTTTTTACAAAGAGTATCTGGGTATTGAACTCAGGGCCATGAGCAAGTGCGTTACCACTGCACTGTGCCCTCATCCCCTAAAGAATATCTTTTAAATATACACCTTGAAGCATGTATGATTTATGTGGGATTTATTTCACAGAGAAAAGACTTGAGGAGCTGAGTGCAATGGCACATACTTATAGTCTTAGCTACTTGCGAGGCTGAGGTAGGGGGACCATTTGTGCCTGACAGTTTGAGGCTAGCCTTGGCAAAATAGTTGAGACAAAAACTCCACGTTCAAAGGGATTTTACTGTTTTTCTGGGCTAAATTGCTTATAATATTATGCATAAATATTTGAGAAATTGTCAACTTATCCTATGTAAATATTTCAAGGGATTAAATTAAACATATACTTCGGTTTTTAAGTCCAAGTAAAACAATTGCAAGAATATTCTTATTTATCATGTGGTGTTGACTCATAATTTAGCACTGGGAATTTTAAGAACACCTAGGAAAGATAGTATCTCTTTGAACATTTTCATCTTATATTTTCGAGGTTTAAATAAACTTTCCCCATACAAATTAAAGTGAATTTAACAAAAACAGAAGCACCTTGTGTCTTTTAAAATCAATAATGAGGTATAAGTACTGAACTTTAATAAATTTTTGTATTATCTCTTTTTTTGGGGGGTGGTACCAGGGATTGAACTCAGGGGTGGACACCCAACCACTGAGCCACATTCCCAGCCCTATTTGTATTTATTTAGAGACTGGCTCTCACTGAGTTGCTTAGTACCTTGTTTTTGCTGGGGCTGGCTTTGAACTTGTGATCCTCCTGTTTCAGCTTCCCAAGCCAGCTATATTATTGAATTTTTTACTTTTTCTTTTTGCTAAATTGTACTAGTTATCTCATTAATCCTTTAATATGGAGTTTAATGCAAAGAATGACAAAGAAGCATCAGGTGAGTAAACAACAGTGAGAAATTAAACCAAGATAGAAACGTAAATACAAATGGAGAAATAATCACCTTGACAAGAAACACTACTTTGGCACTACTTAATCTAATTTAAAAGGAGCATTTAATAGGCAAGCTAAAGTCTAGACACAAATAAAATATTTTCTTTCAGATCAGTGGCGGCAGGCAACACTGTCATAATAGAGTTTGTAGTTTGTTACTTTTTAACTTTTATTTAAAAATACCCACTACGTCTTCAATATGTAAAAATCAACAAGTATGGAAAGACTTATAGTTGAAAAGTCCCCCTTATAGCCCTGTTCTACTGAAGATGTTGGTTTTCCATGTTAAGTTTTACTTTTAAATTAGAGGGGCTGGGATTGTGGCTCAGTGGTAGAGCACTCGCCTAGCACGGGCGGGACCCGGGTTCGATCCTCGGCACCACATAAAAATAAAGGCATTGTGTTGTGTCCATCTACACCTAAAAAAATAAATATTAAAACAAAAAGAAATGCACCTTTAAAAAATAAATTAGAACTATTTGTTAGTATATCTTCTGTTCATCTTAGTTTAAATTTAGATTTAGTAAATGACTTTCAGAGAAGTAGTGCTTATTTAACAATTGTGGACAGCTAAGTGGGACTTCTTAGCATTTATTTTCAATAAGGTCATAAAATTCTTTTCTCTGAAAACACTGTCAACTTACAGAATCAACTAATTCATGACAGAAACCATATAAGAAAATTGTCATCTGGGGAAGAGAAAACTGTTTTTATATATCAGGAAAATGAAAACCTTGAAACCAGTGGGGAGTTGTCAGTATATGCAAACATCGTGAGTACTGAGTCATCTCTGAATGAAAGCCCTACGGATGGTAGTGAAAAAGAAGCCTGTCATTCTGAAAGTAGTGCTGATGCAGACAGTGAGGCTTCAGAATCTGAAAGTGCTTCAAAGCAGACTGTGCTATTTAGATCCAGCAGTGAATCCTGTATGTACACAGATGGGCACCTTCACCACCCATCTGCAAGTGAACTGCCACACCCCAAGGAGACTGACAGTGGTGATGAGGAAATGGCTGAAGCAATTTCTGAACTTTGTTTGAGCAGCACTGTAATTGGAAATAGAGATTTTGACAGAGAAAGTCAGCTACCCAGTGTTTCAAGTAATTTATGTTTTTCAGAGGAGAAGCATATGAGGTCTCACAGTTCCCAGAATGCTTTTCAGACCCTTTCTCAGAGCTATGTAACTACTTCTAAAGAATGTTCGGTTCAGTCCTGTTTGTACCAGTTTACATCTATGGAATTACTAATGGGGAATAATAAGCTTCTATGTGAGAATTGTACTGAAAAGAAACAGAAGTACCAAAAGGAAAATAATTCTTCAGGTAAACATTTAGCTTAATTTGTTTTTGTATTATTAATGGATTATTAGTGACTAATGAGTTATTAATCCCCTATTCAAGCACCTGGGAACCTTATCTTCATACTTGAGCTAGTTGGCCCAGTGATTATCTTGTATTTTTGCCTTAGCACTTAAGGCACTGACTAGGGAGAAAATATTTTCAATAGATTATTGTTGAAATAATTGAAGATCATGAAGTATACATTTCTGCCTTGAAAAATGCAAATCCACATCTTATTTGAAAGAAATAACTATCTGAAATCTTTCTGAAAGAAACAGCTCTAAAACTTAGTTGTATCACTAGTAAGATTGGTGATGAAAGTAAGACCTTCAGAAATCCCATCATCTGTTGTAAACTCAAGGTATAGATTTGAAGATTTTAAATATTTACATGTTATTAAGCTAGTGATACAATGACTGTGTTTAGTTTAACCAGATTAAAGTGGGAAAGGGGGATATTGTTAAGTAAGAATTTTCACTGCACTCTCACCTTAATTGAGTGGAAAGAATACTCTTAAGGTGACTATTTGTTTTAAACATGTAGGTTTTATTATTCAGGTATGGTGAAGTCAAGGAATCAAGAAATGATTGACACTGAAAAATTAGTCACAGTTCCCAAGAAGTAGGGGGGTAGATGTTATACAAGGCCACATGGAGAAGTACTAGGGGCAGATGGAGCATAAAAAGTGAAAGAGAAACAGAAAATTGGCAAGGTCCTTTGTTTTGGTCTCTGAGTAGCCCAGAGTGTGAGAGCTCAATCAAGGATGTTGTTATTGGTATATGGGCTTGGTTAGTTTGCACATGAAAGGTGAGCTTAAATTGTTTTACTGTTTCCAGGATTTAGCTAGCCCTGGAATGGGTTGTCCCATTATGGTAAAAAAAAACACAAAGAACTCTTGATCCAAAGCATAAGAATAAAGACAGGCTTAGTACACTAGTAATTAAAGAAATGGATGGATGGGAGAAGTAAGAAGTACCAACTTAAATTAATTCAAGTTAAATATGCGATTGCCCATATTTAAATCTTGTCATAAGTCCTTTCTATCAAACTTACTGAAATGCCCCGTGATTTGCCATGTTGTATGTTCTCTCTTTGCTGCAATGAGTAATAGACTCAACTTTTAAAATTAAAGGTGCTTCTGGTGGTATTTGGCTGGAAGGGGCTACTAACAATAAGTAATTAGCATTCTAGCATCCAACATTTTCTTGTGCCTCCTCTTCCAGTCTTTATGCCTTAACAAACAAACAAACATACATCTTTACTTTCATCTCAGTGGAGTTATGGAAAGGAATAGAGAGGTACCCTGTAATCAGAAGTCCAATTTCTTAACACTTAAAACAAAATGGTATGATGTTGCTATATAAATTCTTGTTATATTATATTATAGGTAATATATAATGTGGAATTTTTACAAATAAATTTGTTGCATTTTATGCAGAAAAGAAAGCAGAAGGAGTTTATACTAATGCCAGGAAGCAATTGCTTATTTCTGCTGCTCCAGCTATTCTAATTCTCCATCTTAAAAGATTCCATCAGGTAAAAGTCCTTTTATAGAACTCTAGTCATTCATTTTCATTAGGTGTTTTGTGGAGTCCTGTGTTTTGGGGAATATTGTCAAAGATTAGAGAGTAACTTACTGAGTTTAAAAATTTGCCATGTGGGGCTGGGGTTGTAGCTAAGTGGTAGAGCAGTTGCCTCGCACATGTGAGGCACTGGGTTCGATCCTCAGCACCACATAAAAATACAAAATAAAATAAAGATATTGTGTCCATTTACAACTTAAAAAATATTTTTTTAAAAATTTGCCACGTAGGATTTCCTACTAGTTTAGCCATAATAGTTTACAAGACTTTTCTGATTAAAATTGTTTAATTTGTAGTACTTGAAGATTTAGACAGTAGGACCCTTAGTAATGTCTGTGATTGGTATGTGTGATAGAAAATAAGTTTTAATAAACATATTTATAAGCAGAACAGTAGTAAAGTACACTCAACTTTCTGAGCTCTTCTGATCACACTGAAAGGGTTCTTGGCTGTCGGTGTTGGCTGGGAATATAAAGAATGGCTCCAAGGCAGGTCCTACACTTTTAGAACTTCATAATGGGAGGCAAACTAATTTTCTTTTTTTGTTGTTGTTGTTGTAGTTTTTGTTTTTTGAGATGTGTTCTTGCTCTGTTGACCAGGTTGGCCTCAAACTTGAGATTCTCCTGCCTCACCCTCCCATGTAGCTAGAATTGTAGCTACACACTAGTGTCCAGTTTAAATTTTTTTTCTTCTTTTGCAGTACTAGTTACTGAACTCAAGGGCACTCTTATCACTCAGCTATGTCCACAGCTCTTTTTTTTTTAATTTGTTTTTATTTTGATCTAGTGTCTTGCTAAGTTGCCAAGGCTGGCCTTGAACTTGCAATTCTCTTGCTTCAGACTCTGGAGTGGCTGGGATTATAGGCAGGTGCCGCCAAGCCCATCCCAATTTAAATACTTTCAATGTGTTAGGTTTTTGTCTAATTATTTGTGGTTTTTAATTCAGCGTCTTTTCTCAAGAGGATTGTTTTTGCATTTTGAAAGTTATTTTTAAATTTCTCTGGAAAATGAATAAGTTAAAATATTATAGTAGTTAAAGGAGTTTAGTTGGAAATGTCAAAAATAAAACATGAGTGTAATTTAAAGCTATTATGATTCTAGATTTGTTCAGTAAAAGATTTAGGGAAAATGCTTCTTTGGAAAATACATAATTAGAACTTTGTATCATATACCCGTATATATATTTTAAATTTTTTTATTTGGTGATGGATCTTTATTTATTTATTAATTTATATGTGTGCTAAGAATTGAACCCAGTGACTCACACATCATGCTAGGCAAGCACTGTACCACAACCTCAGCCCAGATTTTCAGATATATTTTTAATGCATCAAGCAAATTATTAAAAAGACTAGAAAAAATGAGTATTTGATCTGATATCTGTGTGAAAGACTTTCTAAGTGTAAAATTCATGAAAGAAATCTTAAGGAAAAAGATTGAGAGGTGTGTGTGTGTGTGTGTGAGAGAGAGAGAGAGAGAGAGAGAGAGAGACACACACACACACACACACACACAGAACACACCCAGGGCATTGCACATTCTAATCATACACTCACTGAGTCACAACCCAAGCCTGGATTGAGAGTTTTGACTGAATATTTCAGGGGGCAGGAAAAGATTTTTCTCTGACCCTACTTCTGTCTATAGAAAGATTAGATTAAGTTTTTGATTCTCTATAGCCAAAATTATAGAAATGGCCATGGAGAACAGAAGCAAAAGAATGTCTAGCAGAAGGGCTGCATCTGCAGTGATTCTGTGAACAAGAGAGGATCATTTTGGATTGTAGATGCTAATTTCACAGTGTACTATAGCTATTTTATATTTGGTATTTAATCCCTCTTTAGGAACAACTTAGAAAATTCATGTGCATAAAGGGAAATATTTATGAACATCTCAGACCCTTCTTGTTCTCAAGTGAAACATAATGTCTGCAAAGCCATATTCTAATTTCCAAGGATCGAGAATTGTAGGGAGCACAATCCCTAAGTAATGTCTCTGTTTCTAGTTTCTCTTAAAGTCTATTTCTCTATAATATTAGAATCTTTCACAATACTGAAAGGCGAATCTCAAATTGGATAGATGTCTTTGTCATAAACATTCCAATGATTAACATTGTAAATATGTAAATAGCTCTTAAAGACTAGCTAGAAAATATCCCTAACAGTAACATGTATAAAAAATATCAGTTGACAGTTCTAGAAGATGTACAGATTCCAAGACATTAAAAATAGGTGCATTGTTCATAGCAAAAGAAATAAAGTAAAATGATAGATTCGCTTTTTTAGCGTGTTCAAATTAGCAAAGATACAGTAGTGCTGATATGGATGGAGTGGGATATATGCATTCTCATTGTTCAGCAGTGGGCATATAAATTGATAACACCATCTGGAAAGTAAGTTAGTAATGGATATCAAGAACATTAGAAATGATTTGAATCAGTGTTTGAATAAAAATACTCTTAAGTAATTTCACTTCTAAGAACCCCTTGCAAAGAAATAGAGATATACACAAAATTACATATACCACTTATATAGATTATAACAGGTTCAAGGCCTAACTTTGGTATCCAGTATATGAATCATCAGATTTATATTTTAATGACATGAGGAAAATATTGTGTCTCATTCTATTAAAAATTTTAAAAAGTCAGGAGAGCGCATATGCCCAAATATAAGGCTAGATATTTTTCAAAAATTATCCTCTATGAAAAGATTCATCTAATATTAAAAGCCTTTACAAAATATCTTCTATATGGGATGGTTTTTCAGCAGTGAAGTCCTGATTGTGGAGGATACAAAAACTTGAAACAATTACAGTACATGTATTGGAAAATTATAAATGTCACCTGATTAAAAATGAGAAAAAATAATTAAAAGTAGATCAAATATTTAGTGTGTGTGTGTGTGTGTGTGTGTGTGTGTGTGTGTGTGTATATGGTGCTGGGGATTCAACCCAGGGCCTTGTTGCATGTGAGGCAAGCACTCTACCAACTGAGCTATATCCCCAGCCTCAAATATTTATTCTTGAGATACGACCTCATAAAATTTTATGTCAGATATCATGTTGAACTTTCTAAAGATCATTTGAAAAAACAAAAACAAATCAGTTATTGGTTATATTTTCCAAAAAATAACCAAATAATCTTATTTCTTACTTTAAAGAAAAACAAGAAATAAGCAGCAGATCAACAGTGAAATTATGTGATTTGCAATGGAAAAACCAAAGTCATGAAAGTCCTGTGAAAGGAGGTGTCTATTAGAGAGTCTATCTAGACAGTTCAGATTTAAGTATTTTCTCATTCCAGTAGTGTCCATTTATAGGTCTCCTACCCAATATATTCTGTAGTCTATCAGCTTGTTTTATTACCATTTTATAATGCCAGTCATACATTTTGCAAGGTTTGGCTTTGGAAATTAAAAACATAAAAAGAGGTAGAGCTTATTTAAGAACATGAAGATTTATATATATTACATTTACTTTTACTGATAAATGTTTCAAGTGCTCAGGTTTTTTTTTTCTTTTTTAGCGAATGAATATTATTGAATTTTAAAAATAAAACTTACTGAATTTTAGAAAAGGACATAATATAATCAGTTTATCCTTGTTTTCAGCATTCACCTAAATGAGGTTGTTTAGAGGCAAGTTCACTGTTAACAAGTCATTGAATTAGGCCCAGAATACCAGGGATTTGACTCTTCAGTTGGATACATTTTCATGAAAGCACATATGTTAGTAGCTTAACATTTAACAGATTAAATTTATTTTTCCATAAGTGTTGATAAGCCACAGTGAAAGTAATCATTTCCCTTATTGTTCATGGTAAAAATCTCCATGTAAATGAGTACTCTTTTCAGTAGCAATGTATGAAAACCTGATTTTTAACTTAGTCATATGAATTTTGGACTCTTGATTAGTCACGTTTGTTTATCTATATGAAAAAAAAAATAACTTCTAGAATTCCTTTTGGGATTTTAATTAACCCAGTCTTTAGAGCTAATTAAGTTGTATTAAAAATTTGTTTTTGGTATTTTTAAGGCTGGCTTGAGTCTTCGTAAAGTAAACAGACATGTAGATTTTCCACTTACGCTTGATTTAGCACCATTCTGTTCTGCTGCTTGTAAGGTACAGTATATTAAATTATTTAACTGACCTGCAAATAATATGCTTTAAAGCATATCTGTTTTGTTTATTAGGCCATGCTTTTGCACTTTTTGTTTTTGTTGTTGTCATTTTAAAAATAAGCTGCTCCTCTGAAAGGAAATTTTAATAATGAAGGTAAACCAGTAATTTTTTTTTCACATTTAATACACTGAATCTGACTTCTGTCCTTTGAGACAAAGATGAACAAAGCATGAGGCATGATAATCGCAAAGATCAAAGCTGTACTTGTCTGCTGTGTATAATACTTCAAAATTGTTCATACCTTATTAGGTATAGAAAACAATGTTTAATAATTGCTTGTGTGTACATGTAAGAATTGTTGAGATAAAATTGATTACTAATGGGAACCAAACTATTATAAGGTAACATAATGTCCTGTTCAGGTTTTGTGGTTATGTAGTAGAATGCTTTTTGAAGTTAATATTTTTAGTACATTGACCAATCAAAACAAAAATATTTTAAATGCAATTTTCCAATGAGTCTAGTTTATCTGCTGTGGGATACCAATACTATCTGCAACTAGTAATACTTAATATTCCTAAAATTTGGTAATGTGGTAAATAATAATGAAATTTAGTAAGCTTTTTGCCTTTTTTTTTTTTTTTAACTTGGGGTACTAGGGATCAAATTCAGGGTCTTGCACATGCTGGGCAAGTGCTTTGCCACTGAGTTACATCTCAGACCTCGTGTTAAATTTATGGGAACAAACCGGGTCCAGTGGCACATGACTATAATCCCAGTGACTCAGGAGGTTGAGATTGTAACTTAGTGCGACCCTGTTTCAAAATAAAAAATAAAGAGGGGCTGGGGTTGTGTGGCTCAGCAGTAAAGTGCCTCTGGATCCAATCCCCAGTACCAAAAAAAAAAAAAAAAAAAAAAAAAAATTACATTTTTAAAGTGCCTGTTGTGAATTTTTAACATACACAAAAGTAGTCAGAAGAGTACAGTGAACCTCCAGCGCCCAGCCTTAAAACCTTATGGCAGGTCCTCCCCCATCTACATGTTCCTTTATGTTCTTCTCTGTTGTTAACATTTAATCCATAAATATTTTATTATGTATCTCTAAAAGGAAAGACATGCTCCCTATCCTTTTTGACATAATCACAGTATCATTTATTGTAATTTCTTCAATCATCTAATCTTCATATTTCCAACTATTTCAAATGTGATTTTTTAGAATGAATTGATAACCAAATAAGGCCCATAAGTTATGAATGAATGATGTCTTTTAAGACATGGCAAAGTTTTGTTTTGTTTTGTTTTAGGGTGTTTTTTTATTTTGTTTTTGTTTTTTTGGTGCTGGGGCTTGAACCAGTGCAAGGCAAGCACTCTACCAACTGAGCTATATCCTCAGTATTTCCAATGGGTAGTGTTTCCTCTCCTGCCTCTCTCCTCTCTCGTAGTTTATTTGTTAAATCAGGTCATCTTTCTTGGAATTTCCCATAATAAATATTTTTATGATTGTTACCCCTGTCATTTTTATTTTTACAGATAGGTAGTTAGACCTGGAGAGGGCTGAATATAATTCACATTTAATAGCAACCCCCCACCCCACCATTTCTGGTAAGGCTATTTTATAGGGATTGTTCTGTTCTTTTGTCAGGAAGCACAGCATATCAATTATCCATCTTTGTGTGATATTAGCAACCAGTAATGCTCAATACTAGATCCATGAGTTCATTAAGAATTACAGAATGGTGGGGTATTTTAATTTGAACTTTTTTTTTCATTTATTAGCTTGAATATATAAAGAGAAATTCCTTTCTTCTGTTTAGTTGTCTTATGGTATAATTGTTATAGAAAAGGCAGGATAAATGTTTGATTCTTTCTAAATCATTTTTTAAAAATAATGAATTATTTCATTAGTTATTTCCTCAAACTGTGATTAAATTACAATATTCTGATTATGGATTCATGGATTTAAATACATATGTTCCAATTCATTATGTTGTTCTTTTTAATCATGATCTAATGTATCCAGTCTATTGTGCCCATATCTGACCACTGAAAATCACTACAAGTTGGCTTCTGGATTCTCATGACATGACCCTAGTGTTCTCTCTTTATGGATTATGCCATCAACTGAATATATTGTTCATTTGTGTATTTTCAAATTTCCCTGCTTAGTGTTTACTTTTTAAAATTTAATTTTGTTTAATATTTAAATAAAATATTTACATAATTCCCAAGCCAAGTGTATCAAATGTACTAAACAAGATAAAATTAATCCATTTCACCTGTTTATTCCCTCCTTTTATAGATTAACATGTTAAATTATGTTTTATTTTTGTTTTAAAATATAAGCAGATGGGTATGCATATTTGCATCCCCCCCTCTTAAATAATGGTAGTTTACACCACGTGTCCTTGTTTTCTACTTTATTTTTAACATTACATCCTGGAGATTATTTCCTAGCAGTGTTTAGAGAGAGTATGCACTTTCTTCTCCCTCCTCCCCTTTCTTCTTTCTTTTCTTTCTTTCCTGGGTATTAAACTCAGGGCTTTGTGAATACTAAACACATGCTCTAGCACTGAGCTACTCTCCAGGCTGGCACTCCATTTTTGAAGCAGAATTGGATTGGATGCATCATAGTTTATTCAACCATTTCTTAATTGTGGACATTTGAGTCTACGTCAGTCTTTTGATATTACACATAATCCTGCAACTAATAGTCTGGTATATGTCTTTTTATATTTTTTCTTATGTACCTGGGATACAGTCCTAGAAGCAGAATTGATGAATCCGACAGTAATACATATGTAACTTAGCTATATAACATGAAATATCCTTGCCTAAGGGTGGACCCATTCATATTCCCCCATGCAACTTCTCAGCAAGCAGTCTTTTTCCCTGCAAACCAGCCAACAGAGAATCTTATCAAGCTTTTGCATTTTTGCCAGCTTAATAGGTATAGGGGAAATATCTCAGTGTAGTTTTAATAATGCATTTCTCTTATTTTAAGTGGGATATACATTTACCTTTTCTTATAAGAATATTTCATTAAATATTACTAATTTGTGTTTTTCCTTTTTTTAAAAGAATGTAAGTGTGGGAGACAAAGTTCTCTATGGTCTCTATGGCATAGTGGAACACAGTGGCTCAATGAGAGGAGGGCATTACACTGCTTATGTGAAAGTGAGAGTACCCTCCAGGAAATTATTGGAACATATCACCGGAAAGAAAAATGTACCTGGTATGCCATATTAAGTATTTTTTATTCTTAAAAGTAAGGTAATTTACTATTTCTTTTTTGGAAGGAGTAAGATATTACCTCAGGTGAATTCACTTTATCAATGTTTAATGCAAGTTGTGTCTTAAGAGTGTTTAGATAATTTGAAATTCTTAATTATCATAAGACTATACTCTTTTTTAAAAAATTAAAAAAGAATATACTCTTAGGTGATACGAGGTGACACATAATTTTCAAGGTTTTGAATCATCATGTATTGCAGTAGAATTACTATTTTACTTAACAATACCCAAATTTTTTGAAGACCCACCTGGTCCTCAGAATACAGTAGGAGTTGGAAATTTGCTGGCTTTACTTATGGATCATCAAATTAACTTTAGCTCCTTCCCTTTTTCAGTGAAAATGATTCTTTTCTCTGAGCAATTAAGTATTTACAAGGCTAATATTTTGCTAGATATTTAAATTAAAGTTCTGTTAACTGAGGATAATTAATTATAAAACTCATGCTTTGAAAGAATTGGTTCATTGTGGAAAATGTTTAATGCAAGAGGAAACAGAATCCGAGAATAAAATCTGCCAGTAGATAAGTGTACTTTATAATGAACATGTTGCTGTTTATATTTAGAGAACACAAAACATGCTTACTGTAAAATTTTACTTCTTTTTTTTTTTTTTTTTTTGTTAGGTTTGAAAGAACCAGATAGTGAATCAGGAGGCCAGTGGGTCCATGTTAGTGACACTTATGTGCAGGTGGTTCCAGAATCGAGAGCACTTAGTGCACAAGCTTATCTTCTTTTTTATGAAAGAATATTGTAATGATTTGTTTAATGGCAGTGATTACTTAGCTCACTTTTATTTGAATGCTGCAGTGGTAACCATAATATGTAATGTGCCTTTAGTCTTCTCTTTTACATTGGAATAGCATGTCACTCAATGCTCCTTAACTTTTTCACCATTTTGGTGAATCCTTTTAAAGTAAACTAAATTTACTCTGTGCTTTCAAATTCATATTTTTAAATGTAAAGAACTTTTTTTAAAAAATATTTGTCTTTAGGGACAAAATAATCAAAATTTTTAGTGGTTGAGGAAGTCCCTTTCTGATATGGCTCATTATTACAAACATTCAGAAATAATACTAGCTAAATCAAATCATTCCTTAATATAGTGTTTCCTAAATGCATTACCACTTTCCAGATCTCATGTAACATATACTGTGCTATATTTACTAATTTTAAAAAAATGTTTTAGCCTTTTTAAACCATGGTTTTGTTTTGAGCAATCATATTTCACATTTTATGTACTTATTTTTTCTAATAAACATTAAAATAAATTTAAAACTATTAAGGAAAAATTACTCATCCATGTACTACACCACTTAAAATCATCTCAGGGCTGTCTAGTGGCATATGTGTATTATTGTTTAGAAAACATTGCCATAACTATATGAAGTAATATCTAATGTAACATAGTTACTTTGTCATATTTTATATAATTTAGCCATATAAAAAGGTATCACTGTAATTTTGGTAGTGTGGGTTTACAAATAATGTGTTGATTAGCTTATAGCTTTGAGGTTTGGGGAATATTGAAACATTTTATAAACAAACCATTTACAGCTTATTCATGATAGAGTTAAACATAATTTGCAAGTTTCTGGCCAAGATCAAAATATAATTATAGATAACTGACGTAGAGCATTTATAAACAGAAGTTGATAATCCGTTTTTGATCATTGGATGTCTTTGAAATATAAATGAGCAAATTATGTTTGTGCATAATAGAGAATTCTTATACTTAACAAGGAACACCTTCTATTTCTGTATTTAAGTAAATATTAAACATGGTTTGGGGGTATAAAGAAACCTCCACATTTTTTTTGTCTTTAACAAACATCTTTTAAAAGTTCAGGTATATTTAGTTTTTACTTTAATGAGGCACAGGGCTGGCACTTCTGTTCTCTTTTAAATAATTAACAGCAAAAATGCAGTACCTCCCCCACCTCTAGAACACAAATTATCAAGCTTTAAAAACTTAGTATGAAAATATTACTATTACTCAGGCTTAAATTTCAAAAAATCATGGCAACTTCAGTATCATATTATTGAATCAAAACATAATTTTATGGTTCTAGCATCCTAATCATTAGTGCCAATGAATGATATATAGGCAAGTGTCAGATATTTTTTTTTAGAAAGGAAAAAAAGGATAGGAATAGTGGCTGTAGATAATGTGTAGAAATATTTTACCAAGACTGACCTTTTTTTTAAGATGTAAGTGTACATTATCAAGGTTACCAGTGCTACCTTTTGATACACGATTGAATGGAATTGGAGTTAGTGTTAAAAATGGTGGTGGTATACAAAATGAAGAGCTTTAAAATGTCATTGCATAAAATCTGTTTTTAAGCTGTTGAAATTTCAGTAGTAAAATTTTTTTTGGTGTGGGGGGGGTACTGGGATTGAACTCAGGAGCACTCGGCCATTGAGTCACAACCCCAGCCCTATTTTCTGTATTTTATTGAGAAACAGGGTCTCATCAAGTTGCTTAGCACCTTGCTTTTGCTGAGGCTGGCTTTGAACTCACAATCCTCCTGCCTCAGCCTCCTGAGCTGTTGGATTATAGGTGTGTACCCCTACACCTGTCTAATAGCATAATTTTTTTCAATGGAGAAATACATTTTTGTTAGTAGGATCAATTTGTTGTGTAAAAGAAGTTTTTAGTATTTTCTATTTAGTTGTAATCCATTAAGGATGAAGATTTTATTACCAGAGCAATGATTTTTTGAAAAATATTAAATTTATTTTTTCTTTTTTTGAATTAGCCATTTTGGTAATAGCAGTTGCCAACAAGCAACGTCCCCACCCTGAAATAATGTCACCTCATTCATTTTGACTATTAAGTGTCATTTTGACTATTTTCACTGGATAGGCACCCATTTTTTGTTTCAGATAGATATCTAGATGAGGCATCTGTACCTGCCATGGGTCATGTACTGTGATGACACTATTTTATTATCTTTTAAAATGGAAAGATGGATATATATATATAGATTTTAGACATTATTCTACCAGTAACTTGGAAATCAGATGTTTTTATTTTCATTTCCTTTAGTATTAAATGAGCCAATTCTGAAATCTATTTTCTTATGGCCTGGAGTTTATGAAATGCTTTTTTCTTGTCATCTGAAAATAGGAAAAAAACTTGAGTTTGAAACCTAGGTCTTTCCTAAATGTAGCTTTTGTAATAGAGCATGCTGAATTCCATGAGTCCTGTTGTGTGTGTTGACCCGGGGGAGGTACTGGGGATTGAACCCAGTGGCACTCTACACTGAGTTATACCCCCAACCTTTTTTATTTTTAATTTTGAGTCAGGGTCTTACTAGGTTGCTGAGGCTAGCCTTGAACTTGCAGTCCTCCTGCGTCAGTCTCCTGAATCTCTGGGACTACAGGCATGAGCCTGTCTGAGTCTACTTTTAAATTTTTGTTTTCATTTTGAATTTTTTTCAAAGCACATTTGCAGGGATATTAAATTGTGAGACTACTGTAATAACAATAGTTTCTGGATTACCTCAGGAAACAGTATAAATAAATTAGAATGTTTACATTCAATACAACTACCATAGTGTTGACTGAATACATTTGTGAAGTAAAACAGAAGTTTGCTAGCTCTGTTTAGAAAGTTGTTTACAGGGTATGTCTAGCCCCAGATCCTTCTAGTTTTTCCATATTTAAAATGATAACATTTTGATTATGTGCCAATTATGTGAATATTTTGACATAACCAAATATACATATACACCGAAGTTTTTATCATTTAGTATTTTTTAAAATTTATGTGAAGACAATCTCTTTAGTTGACTAAAGAGAGTGATAACTGGTATCAATTAAAAGGATAGTTTATGTACCAGCAGAGCTATTTTACTACATTTAATAGCTCTTAGTTTGAATGTGTAATGACTTTAACCAGTGGTTTTATGCAATAGTTAAATAAAATTTCCTGAAGATTAATGAAGTGTATTATCCCTCATCTAATTTTTGTAGTACAAAGTAACATCCTCCCTATTTTTCTTTATTTCATAATTTATTTTTCTGCATGGTACATGATCAAATAAGCTTAAACCAAAATGTGCAATAAAAATTGAACCTTTAGATAGTGTCTAGTACGTTATTAAGAAAGACTATTTCTATATTTTAAATGTTTTTGTTCATGTAGAAACTATCAGTTCAAATCTGTTTAAAAGATATAGGACTATATTTTAAATTTTGAGTATTAAATTCATAATGTCATTCCTACTGTTTTATCTTTTTTGCAGTGTTTTTAGAAAATAGTTATGTAATTTATTGAGCATTATTTTGTTGTTACTGTATAAACATCATAATAAATATTAAATTCTTATTCATCTTATGTTACAAGACTGGTCTTGGAGTTTTTGCACTGCATGTTATTAACAGAATACTTTATCTGTCAACATTGTACTTCCTTGTGTTTTAGTCCCTTGGGCTAAAAATATCATAAACTGGTGACATATTAACAACAGAAATTTCCTACAATTCTAAAGGCTGGGAAGTCCAAGATGAAGTTGTCAGCAGATTCAGGATCTCATGAAGGAATACTTTTGATTTTTAGTGTTTTCTCACTGTTTCCTCACGTGGCGAAAGAATCAAGGAAGCTCTCTGGGCCTTCTCTCTATCAATGTAGAGGTTGGGAAGGAAAAGCTTGACATTTGTATGTTCCCTCCAAAACTTTATGTCCCTTTTATTGTTTGATATGTAATTTCAGAGGTTCAAGTAACCCCTGAAACCATTTTCATACAGTTTTTTCAATTACAGCCACACAAAATGGTCCAAAATGTTTGCATTCCTCTATTTATTAGGATAGACTGGGTTATGATGATGAATCCTGTTCTTAGTAGTATTACTAAGTTATTCTTTGCTTAGACTCACAGTAAACTTCTAAGTGAGCAATCTGCAAGGCAACTGTTTTCCAACTTGTAACTATAATGCAGGCTGATTCAGTCTTTGGCAACACCATTTCAACACCAAGTCTCTTCTCTGTGGCAGGGGAAGAGAGTGCTAAGAGGTCTTGCACTGGTGATTATGTTCTTCATTTTGGACAAAATTGGTCACATGACTCTGCCTAACTGCAACAAAGGATAGATAGGAAAGAGGAAATTTCCCATGGGCTCAGTAGAAAAGGAGATAGGATGTGTGAGTTTACTGAGGTGTCTACCACAATCCACCCTTCTGGTCACCAAATACTCAGCTCACTCTTTTTCCAAACATGGAACACAATGACTTCCTGTTCAAGGGACTGCCCAGAAGTCCTGTCCATGCAACACTTTATTGTCTAAGACTAGGCTTTTGCCCCCATTCACCTGGAGACCCAGAAACCAAAATGATGTGCTCTGTTCTCCACATGCTTAATGGTGGTGGAAAAGATGGAACCATAGCCCATAATCAACTTTCTAATCCAGAATGGGGAAGAATGGGAGATAGTGTCAGGGTCCTGTTTGGGGGATATGTTCATGATTGGACGTTGTTCTCTGTGACC